ATATATATATATACATATATATATATTATATTTTTTCTGAGCCATTTCCCACTATATATTCTTTTACCATTTTCAGTCAATTTACGTGAGAAATTTTAGTATTTATATTTTTTTCTCCAAAACATCTAATTGTTTGGATTTTTTTAATTTTCTAAATAAAACTTTTTATTTTTGTCATTTTGAGTTTCTTAATTTTTTTTTTCTTAAATGTCTTCCAGTATTCAAATATCCTAAGATTATTATTGTTGAGGATTTGAAATACCGGAAGACATTTAAGAAAAAAATGAAGAAATTCAAAAAGACAAAAATAAAAGGTTTTATTCAGAAAATTTTAAAAAAAAATCTAAGTAATTAAATGTTTTGAAGAAAAATATAAAAAAATTCCAACAAAAATTAATCGAAAATGTTAAAAAATATAGTGGAAAATGGCTCAAACAAACCCTTATATTTATAGGCTTATCAGGGATATTTTCGTCAGATTTAGGAAAAAATATAACAGCAGGGGTTTTTTTGTATTTATGTGTAGTACAGGGAGGTATATGATACAAAACCCATAGTACATGGGTGTTTTTGTATTTAACCCTTCTTTTTATATATTATTAAAAAAAGGGACTAACTAGCAATATATATTGTCAAAAGGGGCCTATAGCCGAGTATATAAATCCATATAGATATATATTCTTGGTCCCTTCTTTCTCCTCATATATCATATTACTCAATCACCTGTGATCACTTCTTCATCTCTCCCTCTTATATAATATATATAATATATATATAATAATTATACTCTGTCACAGAGAGATTCTCGGTCAAACTATTTCAGAGTGAATTGATATAATTTTGAACAAGAGGGATCGGAGAAATAATTAATAATTAAAAATGGTATCTATGTTATTTCTTGCATTTTCTTCGATTTTTTTATTTTTTTATATATAAACATCTGATATATAGATACATATTATATACACTTTTTTTTTTTTTTTTGTGATTCAGGAAATGGAGAAGCAGTTGAGTAGTACATGGGAGGGTTATGTTGATTGGAGGGGTAAACCTTCTCTCAGAGCCAAACATGGCGGCATGCTCGCTGCCTCCTTCGTTTTGGGTATTCTCTCTCTCTCTAGAATTTCTCTCTCTCTCTCTAGAATCTCTCTATCTGATGTTATTTATTTATTTAATGATTTTTTAAATTTATTTTGGGAATAACGGAAAATAGTTGTGGAGATATTTGAGAATCTGGCGTATCTGGCAAATGCAAGCAACTTGGTGTTGTACCTAACGGAGTACATGCACTTCACGCCGTCGGAATCTGCTAACGCCGTCACTAATTTTATGGGCACCGCCTTCCTTCTGGCCCTCCTCGGTGGCTTCTTATCCGACGCCTTCTTCACCACTTATCAAATCTACCTTAGTAGCGCCGTTATTCAATTCCTGGTAATTTTTCTCCCTCTTTTTTTTTTTTTTCCAAATTACGGCCACCCTGAAGTATGAGTAAATTACGAAAAAAATCCCTTTTATTTAAATAATTACAACCTCCCCTTCTTTTTAAATATATCTACATAAAATTTATGTAATTCGGTCTCAAAAAATATCGTATATTCAGTCCAGTAAACAATATAAAATATTGGCGTACTGAAAATTCGGTTCGATTTTACCGATTTAACATCCTTAAATTACCCCTGGAAGAGTTTTTCCGTAAGATAATACATAGTTGAGGGGTGAGGGTGACTATCATTATTCAAATAAGAAGGAGGTTTTCGTAATTTGACCATAAATGAGGGGTCGGCTTTAATTTGGCCTTCTTTTTTACAATTACCTATATATATATTTATTTATTTGTATATTATTTTTGGCTTATCTGTTATGTGAAAAGAAAAGAGAAAACAAATAAGGGCAAAACAGAAATTATTGGGAAACGTGATGAAATTAGGATATAAAATATATATATTATATATAGACATTTAACTAGTGATAATTGTTATATTTTTACTTAATTTAGTGTGGGCGAGTATTCTTTTATGAAATTTATTTATTTTCTTGTGATGTGTGAAACTAATATTTATATTTTGAATTTGGGATTAAAATTATTATATTCTGACACCACTAAGGCCACTTGCTAGTTTTCCTTTTCTTACAAGTTGGTTTTGCTGGTTCGCCACAATTTAGGTGCACGAGAATTCCTTTGTTTCTATCTTTTATTTTCTTTTGTCCCTTTCAATTTTATTTATATATTTATTTATTTTATTATATGTATATATTCAAAGTTAAGAAAACAACAAAGTTTGTGATTTACTATATATATACGCATGTCGACAAGTAATACTGTTGGAAACATTAATTGCATCCTCATCAACTATATTATTTTTTAAATAATAATAATAATAATAATAATAATAATAATAATAATAATAATAATAATAATAATAATAATAATAATAATAATAATAATAATAATAATAATAATAATAATAATAATACTAATAATAATAATAATAATAATAATAATTGTAAATATTGTGAATTACTTAATTATAGGTAATATTTTTCTTTAATTTTATTTTATAACATTTACACTCATACAAAAAACGTGGAAAGAGTCGAGACGTTATATCCGTTATTGACGTAGTCGATCGATATCTGCGTTTTGTCGTAAACGTAATTTGTCGATTTTTCTTTCCGTCATCTAAATATTCGAATTTTGTTCGATCGTAAGTTATCCGTTGTTGACGTCGTTTATCAATTTCTACGCTTTGTCGTACACATAATTTGTCGAATTATATTCTGTTTATTTAAATATTCGATTATTTTCCGAGTACATCCAAATGAAATTTAATTTGAACATGAATGAAAGTAACATGTATTTAATTAGTGGATAAATCATACATACTTTGTCATTAGCATTAAACACATGCAACGCATCTAGGTACACTAAGATTTTATTTGGGACCCATATTTAATCTAATTTAATTATTTTTCTTGGGTGTGACGTGTCACACTAAAATAAAAGCAAACTTCATTTCCTCGAAAATATTTTTGTTTTCCCATAATTAATGTTTTTATTTATTTATTTTGGCTTTTGTTTTTTTTGGTCTCATTATTATGATATGCAGTAGAACCTCATGTTTCAACCAATAGCTTATCACCACTAGTTGCTAAAAAAACTTTGCCTTCCCTTTCTGCCACGTAACTTTAACATGTTTCTAGAAGAATGCACATAATTAATATGCAATTAAATTCATAATCATCTTCTAATTACTCTTTATTACAACAGGGATTAGTAATACTCACAGTGCAAGCACAATCAGGTTCACTAAAACCACCCAAATGTGACCAAAATATGCCATGTCATCAAGTACATGGTGCACAAGCTGCAATGTTGTTCATTGGCCTTTATCTAGTTGCCCTAGGAGTTGGAGGAATTAAGGGCTCTTTACCCACGCACGGAGCCGAGCAATTTGACGGAAATACCCCTCAAGGAAGAAAGCAACGTTCGACTTTCTTCAACTATTTCGTCTTTTCCCTTGCGTGCGGCGCCCTAATTGCCGTCACATTCGTCGTTTGGGTTGAAGACAACAAGGGTTGGCAATGGGGTTTCGGAATCTCCACATTGACGATATTGTTGTCGATTCCGATCTTTCTAGGAGGTTCTAGATTTTACAAGAACAAGATTCCTCTTGGAAGTCCACTTACAACCATATCTAAGGTATAATTTATGTTCTTTTTTTAAGTAAGTTAATTAAGATGAAAGATTGGGTTTATTGCATTCAGCACCCCTGTTTTTTCTAATTCTTAAAAATGTCCCTATGATTCAATTTTTTTTAGCAAAAACTCACTGTTTAGGGGGTTTTGTGTTAAAAATATGTATTATAAGGGTGTTTTTGCAAATAAAAACACGAAGAAGTTTTGATTAGCAATTTCATATAACACAGGGGTACTGAATGCAATAAACTCTTACTATTTTTTGTGTATACTAATCTGTGTTGATGAACGCATAGGTTTTGATAGCTTCATTACTAAACACATGCATGGCAAGGAGCTCGAGCAACGCAATTGCAAGCATGTCGACGAGCCCTACACCAAACGAAGACGAAATCACTACGCGAAACACACCCAAAAACAACACACCATCGACATCAGAAAATCAAGAATTACAAGATACGACAATATCATCCGAATCGCCATCGCAAAGCCTTAAATTTCTCAACCGATCGGTGATAAACAAGCCCGCATTCGACGTACTCAAATGCTCGGTCCAACAATTGGAGGAAGTGAAAATCGTCATAAAAATCCTCCCAATTTTTGCGTGCACCATAATCCTCAACGCTTGTCTAGCTCAACTCTCGACTTTCTCGGTCCAACAAGCCGCCACAATGGACACTAAACTCGGAGCCCTAAAAGTCCCGCCAGCTTCACTCCCCGTTTTCCCGGTCGTTTTCATCATGATCATCGCCCCGTTGTACGACCACGTGATAATCCCGTTTGCCCGTAGGGCAACGAAATCCGAAACGGGAGTGACTCATCTCCAAAGAATCGGAGTAGGGTTGGTTTTGTCCATATTAGCAATGGCGGTAGCTGCATTGGTCGAAATCAAGCGGAAGAGGGTGGCGACCGAAACGGGCCGGGTCGGGTCGGAGGGCCCGTTGCCCATTTCGTTTTTGTGGATCGGGTTTCAATACTTGTTTCTCGGGTCGGCGGATCTTTTTAGCCTAGCCGGTTTGCTAGAGTTTTTCTTCACGGAGGCTCCGTTTAGCATGAGGTCGTTGGCTACTTCGCTATCGTGGGCCTCGTTGGCTATGGGGTACTATTTGAGCACGGTTATCGTGTCGGTGGTTAACGGTGTTACGGGTGTTTCGAAGCACAAGGCGTGGCTTTCGGGAAGCAACTTGAATGATTACCACTTGGAGAGATTCTATTGGCTGATGTGCTTGTTGAGTGGATTGAACTTCTTGCATTATCTTTTCTGGGCTAGAAAGTACAAGTACAGATCCACGGCGACTAATTAATTAGTAGTGTTTTTCTTTTCTTTTCTTTTTTTCGGCTTAATTAGTTAATGATGCTAGTTTTTTTAAGATTAGGGTTCTTGTTTTGTAAGATCGTGTTTCATGATTTAAGTTCTGATATACGAGTTATAATCTGGTTAGTACTGTTGAGATTTTATTTTTGTTTTGTGATTGCACGTAGATGAACAATCTATTAAATTAACAAATATTCTTGGTTAAGAGGCTAGAGCAAACATTTCACTTGAGTGTAACGTGAGATAATTATTTGATCAAAGAATTTTCAACAAGGGGATGTAGCTCAGATGGTAGAGCGCTCGCTTAGCATGCGAGAGGTACGGGGATCGATACCCCGCATCTCCATTTTTTTGCGATTTTCAATCACGACTTATGCCCAGAAACGCGAGATTATCTGTATGAATTTTACAACAGTTCATAAAAATGTAAAAGCGTGTTTCTTTTCTACACACTCCACTTAATCATCTTGTAGCAAAAAATGTAATAGCAAAACGTTATGTTTTTTTAAAGCAAAACGTTATGTTTTTTTAAATAATTCAGTCGTGTAATATACAGATACAAAATTGAGAAAAATATTAATTAATATTTTCAAAAAAAAAAGGGGAATATACTAAATATGAAAGTATTAAAAAGAGCAAACAAAAGAATCACTAATTACTCTATGCTTTTCTTTTTTGTAGAAAATGATATACATAATCAATCACATTCTATTCACAATTTCCCTACTAATACTAAATTACTATATATGCAGCTTTATCCAAACGGAATGACACGGTACACCCTGGTGCACCACGAACAGCATATAATAACCCGGCGGCGCAATATTAGCCGTCGGCGGCGCATTCACCGTAACCTTATACGCAAAGGGAGCAATCTGCTGCTCCGCACTAACGTACAACACCAATAACCTCTGGTTCATCGCGAACGAGTGCGTCGTAAAAGATGGCGCCACCATCGTCACGAGGTACTCCCCTGGAACAAGCTGGAACCCACCCAAGCTGAAACTGATTGTGAATTGCTGCCCGTACGCCACCGCGTTGTCCTCCGTCCCGTCGATCGACAGGATCGACGGCCGGAGATGGGCGTACTCCGTCCCCAGGTACGGGGGCGAGTACGCCTCGAGGCTCAGGTCCGTGGGGTACTTCTCCGCTGTGAAGTTGTACTTCACGTGCGGGTTGCTCCCGCCCACTAATATCCTGCCATCTGGCAATAGTATGGCGGCTGAGTGGTACATCCTCGGCTTTGTTGAGGGGCTCAGCGCGCTGAATCTCTTAGCCGGGTCGGGTTCGTCCGGGTAGTACATAACCGGACTCAGTACCGGTTCGTCCCCGCATTCCCACCCGGCTGACCCTCTCGCCGCCCCGTTGACTATGATGACGTCACCCGTGGGTAGGAGCAGCATATCGGGCATGACCCGACGAAGCGGCATGTCTTCCATAACCCAAACCGGCTCCGGATCCGTGACCCGGATTCTCCCGCATGATTTCGAAGCTGCCATGAACCTACCCCTCAGAGCTTTCAGGTACGCGCCGCCGCGAGCGCCGCCGCATATCAGGATCTCCACGGTGGGGTAGGAAGAATTCCCCAGCTTCAACGGGAGCATGACGGAGGATCCCGTCGCCGGGTAGTTTCTCTTCTCGCCGGGAATCTCGGGGTATTCTCTGACGATCCTGTCGTTCTTGTAATCAAGTAAGAGAGAGCGGCGGTTGGCGAAAACGAATAGGTTTCCGTCGGGTAGTAAATGCAAGAACGGGTAGAGATTGTTTTCTTCTTTCGGGTCGGTTGTTTCTTTCAACAGAGGGAATGGGAAAACGCGGTTGTCGTTGTTGGGGAAGAATTCGTAGCTGTAAGCCCTTCTTCCGCCGACGACGATGACTCGGTCGTCGGGGAGGATGTGATCGGAGCCGTACCATCTCTGCACCGTTAGATTTAACGGCAGCTCGACCCAATCGCAGGTGTCGTCGTTACACGGCGTGAAGGTTCGGATCTTCTTGTACCCGTCGTGGTATCCGCCGGTCTGAACTAAGGTTCCGAGGGAGTTGACGGCGCCGGAGGAGCACCAGACGTCGGTCTGGACCATGAGCGGGCGGTAGGTGTTTGAATCGACGTCGTACAGGAGGGAGTGCGCCGTGCAGTCGTGCTTGGCGGCTCTCGGGTCGAACCGGCATTTTCCGGCGGGTAGGGAGAGGTTCGAGGATCCGAAATCGGCGCGGTCGAATATTACGATCTTGTTGTTGTGGAGGAGCTGCATGTGCATGGCGGAGACGCCGACGGATTCCTGGAGGAGGGACCACTCTCCGACGCCGGGTGTGGCGGCGGAGTAGCGTGGGGTTGTCGGTAGGGAGATTGTTGAGAGGAGGAGCTCCGACGAGAATTTCGGTTTGATAATTATTGATCGATCCGGCGGCGGCGCGTGGCTGTAGTGTGGGTGGTGCTGGTTGTGCCGGCCGGGCTCTGAGTTCGGAGTGAAGAAGAGAGAGAGGGTGATTACCAGAAACAAGAGGAAAGATTGTTTCTTGAATAACGCCATTGAAGAAGGTAGGGTTTCTTGAAATTAATTTTAATTTCTTACAGAAAATAATATTTTTCAGGGAGAGTTTTTATATTTTGAAAAGTTGGGATCAATTCAGATCAAACCGCCAAAAATATAACTATTACCTAATATATATACAAAATTATATATATACATTTTTATATTAAAATTAAATTTACCAAAGTGATGAAGAAGAAAGATTAATAAGGAAGAAATAAAAAAAGAATGGCACCACTAATTAATTAATGAATTAATCCAAAACAGAAAGTTCAGGGACTGATTGAGCGAAGATTAATGCACTCTTCCAGCATTGCCCGTGTTGTAATATGAGGTTGCAAGTTTCAACCATTTCATTGTGCTTACTAAAAAAATATATGTAATTATGAATTATGGCTGGGGGTAAAATTGGAAAGAAATTTTTATTTTTTTCTCATCTTGATCTAATTGTTTTCCCATCTTGGAACAATATTTGTTACCCCGGATGTGAAAGTTATGATTTTTCCAATATTTTTAGGATTGGAATTGAAATATACATGAAATCTCAATCGGATTTTAATTTTCAAAAATATTTCTAAAATTTTATTTTTTTTCTGGAAATTACATTTTTATTTTTGTAATTTGTGATAAAAAAAATTATTTGAATTTCTGAAATTTCGTTATTCGTAATGTTTTTGTTGTAACAAAATTGAAATTAGTATTTCACTACTAACAAAAATTGTATTTTTATTCATTAAAATGTCAATTAAGATTTGATCCCTACGGTTCTCACCTTTAATGTTGGCCCACAAAGTTTGTTATATATCAATTAAAGCCCATACAAGTTGGTAGCCCAATTATTAATATTTGGGCCACACATTTTTCTCACGTCATGCAACTTTTAGGAAGGCTTGATTTTAATTAGATATTAATTTTGTGACATGTCTTAACTCTTAATTAAATATAATTGGAATCACTTTCGAAAGATGCTAACTAGGTTTAGAATATTAATTAATTCGGAGCCATATGGGAAGGAACACCTTGCTTCTTTCTCACTCCAACCTAATTTCGTTTGGTAAATGAGCAACTAGACCTCCACCCAAATGTGTCTCCTTCGAACGTCGAAAAGATGACTCTATGTCGGACTTTCTGACCGACAACGATGATTGAATTAATTATAATATGAATAAAGAGAGAATAAAAACGATTTGGAACCATAGTATAAAATGTGTAGTTGGTCTATATTCAATCTTAAAATGTTTTTCAATTGTGTGATTACATTTGTTTACATATTTACATGGACATTTTCTATCGTACGTACAATTCTCTAATTTGTCGGAGATTTAATCTTGATTGTATGATTGCCGCTTGTGATCATCAGTTCGCCACCTACCATGCCTCTCGATAATGCATATGTACACATTGAGGCGACCTCTAAGCCAATATTTAATATTTCTTGGGTCTCTAAGCCCAATGCTTCTGCTCATCAAATTTACTTTCGTTAATCTGAAGTCCAAATCTAAGATTTCAATCCGATATCCACCGATTCGGCCTAATCTTGCCGAACTGACCTCTCGCCGATATATTTCACCGATTGTACTTTTTTGTACGAAAATGTAGTTTTTACGGAATATCTTGAAAAATGAACGCCTTTAGCGAGTTTTTCAGGTAATAAGTTAAATTAGTAATTCAATGAATCCACGAAATGAACGTGGAAAGAATAAATGTGGTCACTACTTGCTATATATGGCAATGTTACTCACAAAACATAATAAACATCTAAATATGGTATACTTATGTGTTATTTATGAATCATCATTGTCCCTTTTCACTATGTTTTCAACCAATGAGCTACGTTACACGTGCACTTTACCCATTCTTTTTATCTTCTTTTATATATTTTGCACAAAACAAAACATATTATTCAAAATTGTTAATAAGACAAAAATGACAATATTAATAATAATAATAATTGAGAAATCAAATTAATGAGGAGGATATATAATTTAAACATTATAAACTTAAAAGTTAAAAGGGTCTTTGTTTTTCTTTTCACATTTTTAGCTTAAATATTGATTTTTTTATTAATCGATTAAATATTAGATGATATAATTGTCTTAATTTATTTTTAAATAAAATAAATTACAAAATTCAACTCGTAACGCATCAGCCAGACAATCATTAACCATTTATTAATTACAAGATGCATGTATATGCAATCATATTCTACTAGTTTTTTATTGGCTTACAATAATTAATTAGCATTAATAATCTTAATATTATTATAAATATATAGATATCTTTATAGTTGATATCAATCAATTTAAAAAAATGTTGGAACGTATCAAACTATAATAATTGGTATGTAAAAAAAGAATTTAATCGTATTAAAGAATATGTATTTATTTTCTACAAACATAAAAATAAGAAAAAGAAAAAAGAAAACAAAGATGAAGATGCATGAACAAAGGCCAATAAAAATATCCAGACGCACTCACGCGCGTGTGGGGATCAATACACCAAAGATATGACACGTCATTTCACTGATTGGTCCCGCCTCTTATTCTCTCTCTTGCCCGAGCTGCCCACATTTTCCACTTTCACACTCCTTGAAAATTGACGCTATCCTCCCTCAGAAGTAGAACTCTTTTCACATTGGTCCCTCTTCTTTTTCCGGATCTCGTTTTGGTCCCAATTGTTTTTTTATTGAAGATATATGGGCTAAATACAGTTTGCACCCTTAAACTATAGGGGTGGTAACACTTACCCCCTTAAAGTTACAAATGTAACACTTACCCCCCTCATTAATGAATTTAATGATAAAACTTTGACTTTGAATGATGTGACATTTTTTCTTCCCAAATTGTCCTTCTAGCTATTATATTGATGCATATATAATAAAATATTTTCAATAATATTTCAAAAACTAAATTTTATAAAATATAATAATTATTAAAAAAATATTTTGATTTATGTTTAACTCCACATTTTAGTTACTATAGACCCTAATATAAATAAAAATCTCAATATTTTAAAAATATATTAAATACGTTAAACATTTGCAAGAAAAAAAAATATTTTCAAGGCTTAAATGGCCAATTTTTTTTATGATAATTATTGATTTGAAAATTTATTTTAGTTACTTAAATATAAATTTTAATAAAATAATATTTAAATATTTAGACGTTTAAATTATAATTTCTTATTAACTTTTGAATACATTTTGTGATTCTCAAAGTAAAAAGTGGGATGATTATATTAGAGTCATATACGCATTAAAAAAACTATATAAACTATAAAATCATAATTAAAATTCGAATAATCGTTAACTTTTTATTAGCTACAAATGAACACAAGATAAAACAAAAATACACTAAAATTCAATTTTTTTCATTCATAAATTTACAATATTGAAATAATAAAATTAAGTTTTGGCAAAGTTGTCGAAATTTTTATTATTACATATTCATTATTTTTATTTATTTAATGGCTAGAAGGACAATTTGGGAAGAAAGAATGCCACATCATTCAAAGTCAAAGTTATACCTTTAAATTCATTAATGAGGGGGTAAGTGTTACATTTATAACTTTAAGGGGGTAAGTGTTACCACCCCTATAGTTTAAGGGTGCAAACTGTATTTAGCCCAAGATATATTAGGTAGTACATGCAAAAAGCTTTAGAAAATATGCCATACATATTTATTTTCTTATACTTTGTAAATAAATCATTTTTACTTATTTCTCTTAAAATTATTATTTCGAAAATTGACAATCTAAAAATAAAAAAAACTTTTGAAGCAGTGTTATTGAATATTTGTGGCGAAATTATTTTTTATCTAGTTTCATTTTTTACTTATTTTTAAATTATTACAATCTTAAAGCACAAAATTCATCAACTCTTCATTGATACTCTCGTTTTCAAAATAACTGTCGTTTAATGTTTCGACATTGGTATTAATTTTTTTTTTAATAAATGTCAATTGATTTAGGAGCATATTCCAACTAATTCTGTAACTATTTTTTCCACTTGTGAGAATTAATATTTGATATAATTTATGGGGTTTTTTGCAAAAACCATCCCTGTGTAATCTCGAATTGCCCGAAAAGTCCCCGTGTTAAAACAATTAGCAAATACCCCCCTATGATCAGAAGTCAGAGCCAATAAACCCCCTGTGAGTTGATCGTGTGTTACACTCGCCGATTATGCAACTGGGAGCGTATTTTTTGACTGGAAAATACCAAAATACCCTTTCCATTGTTTTATTTTTTAAATTACAGATTCACCCAATAAAAGATCCATCTTTCAATTTAGTCCTTGACATTTTCAAAAAGCCCTCTTCTCCAAATCAACCATCCGTTACCACAAGTCGTCTTTATCTTCCCATTTCCGGCGAGCCCGTGAGATTGAGAAGGAGAATCCCATCGGGGCTTCGGGTTTCAAGAATCCGGGTTGTCAGATTGTTTTCTTCTCGTCGGCCATTCATTCGAGGTGGGGGCGCCGCCGCCGCCGCCTTATACGACCGTAAGAGGTGTTGGATTGGGTGGGGAGGAGATGGTGCCCATAACACCGACAATGGGCTGCCGATTTGGGGAGATTTTTGCTTGATTTTAGCATTGGTTTTGAGGTGGATGTCGAGAGGACATCTACGAAGCCATAGCCGCCGACGACAAAGGTATCGTCTCTAATTTCCATCTCCAGACTTCAATTCTTGGTCGGGGAGAGAGAAATGGAGGAAATTGATGTGGCTCGGAGAGGAACCGATTCAAACCGTTGCGGAGCATAGGTCAGAGGCAACGAAGATGTTGGATTGTGGAGGAGGAACAGGATGTGTTGGTGGTTGCTGTTGGAGGCGGGTGCACGGTGGTGCTGTTGAAGAAGATGACTTATTTAATTTTTTTTTTCTTTTTATTATTTTATATTTAGTATATATACATTTTGCATTATCTTTTGTTTATAAATTTATAAAAATAATTATTTTGTTATTTTTTATATATTTTTTATTTTAAATATTTTTTAATATTTTTTTTTAATAATTACTAAAATAAAGGATAATGTAGCATATTTTTATAAGGGTAATATAGTCATTTCATTATAGTCAACGATTTTTTTTCGAATAGGGGGTGGTGGGCTAAATAAAATCCATTATAGGGGGGTAAATGCTAATTGTTTTAACATAGGGGTTTTTTCGGCAATTAGACTTTTCACAGGGGGTTGTATGCAATTAACTCTAATTTATGAGTAATAAAGGTCATATGAAAAAAAAAACTCAAATTTGCTTCTAGTACAAAAATATTTTTCCTTTTGTTTTGTGGGGGTCAGGGCCCCCTCTTTCCTTTTGCATGTGGGTTACAGCTGAAGGTTATTTTTGGGAAATCAAATCTTCCTGCCCGTGTTCTTCGGGCAGACCCTCATTTGCTTTATTAGTCTTAGATTCTATATATATATATATATATAAAAAAAAGTAAGAACTGATAATTCATACATTTTAAAAATACTTTTTCTTCTACATATATATAAATTACACACAAACACACAGTATATATATATATATATATATATATATATATATATATAAATTGTGGATGATTCAATAAATAATGTGCGAATTCTTTTTTTCTTGAGCATTGAACTGGTCAGCATAATTTGTGTCTCCTGCTGATGTATACATAAGTTTTGAACTGGGATTTTTTATTTTTTTTATCAGTATTATTAATTAATTTATTTAATTTACATATATAATAAAATAATAATAATAATTATTATTTGGTTTCCCACCTTTGCTTGTTGCGCACAGTGGCAAGGGGCAAAGTTTTCTTCTTTGAAGGTCAAGCATGTGATCTGCTCCTCCTTCATAAATCATCTCTCACTGTAATTCTCAGCTCATCTTTTTCAACTAGGTTTTCATACTATCAGATTTTTCTTCTGATTTTTACAGATTTCAAAAAAAAAAAAAAATTAAAAAAATTTGTTCTTGGAGTTGAAGAAATATTCTGTAATCATTTCTGCTATCTGGGTTGTGGTGATCTTTCAATAGTCCTACCCCCAATTTCTTCTCTTTTCTTGATTTTTCAAAAATAAAAATCGGTTCTTGAAGGGAAAGAAATGATTTTTATTGTTGTATTTGACTTGTTTTCTGAAATGGGTTTGGGTTATTTCAGGTGATTCTGTAGGGATTTTAATTTGAGTGAAATTAGGACCCTATTTTTATTTTTATTTTTCTTAAGGTACGAGGAAAATTAGGCTTTGGATGATTTGTTGTCTGAGAAATTACTAATAAAGATGGGATTAGTTGTTGATGATGATGGATTAAAAGTAGAAGATTCTTTTGGTGTACAAAAAAACCCAAAGGGGATGATGAGCAAGAAAAAAGATGCTGTGGAGGAAGTAACAGGTTGTTGGATAAAATTAAGGTTTATTGGGAGCTGTATTTCATCAAGATCTAAAGTGGATAACTCTATTAGTGGCACCACTAATCATGGTAATTAATCTCTTCTCCGCTTTTGTTAATCGCATCGTGTGTTCGATCGAAGTTATTTGCTTTTGTATGCCGTTTTGTTTATGGATATTTTAATAGGTAGAAATTAATTTCGTCGTAAAAAATATATATCGAGAGTTGGGATTCCATTAGCAGCAATGTAGGTGGAGGCATTGAGTTTCTTTCGGCTTTTAAAGTATGTGATGAGGTGTAGCTAAGTTATGTAATGTATACACGAAATTAAAAAAATAAATCGTTTGTTTCAATGATTTTGTCAATTGAGATTTATATCACTGTCTTTTTCGTTCCTTAGTAGAAAAAATTGCGTGTGACGATTTATGAACAAAAAGTAGGAAATAAACGAGGTTTTATTGCTTATATTTTTTTTGTCTTGGTTTCTAATTTAGTTGAAAAACAATGCTTACAACAAGCTCGTTGAGTCGGAACTATTCCCTAGTTTATTTGCTGCGTTATTTTAAGATATTGTCTCGATTTTTCACGTATACTATGATAGTGTTTGAGCCCACTTTCTATTATTGCATTTTTTTTAATTCTTTATTTTACAGAAAGTAAATCTACGAATGATAGGAGCAAAGATCAACCGATTGTACCCGTAATACCTTCCACCACCACAAGCAATGCAGAGAGCAATTCTTCGAGCTCGAAATTCGAAGAAGAACTCAAAGTATCTTCTCGTCTTAGGAAGTTTACGTTCAACGATCTTAAATTGGCAACAAGAAATTTCAGACCGGAATCTCTTTTAGGCGAAGGTGGATTCGGTTGTGTCTTTAAAGGATGGATCGAAGAAAACGGGACAGCACCCGTTAAACCTGGTACTGGTCTTACAGTTGCCGTCAAAACCCTCAATCACGACGGTCTTCAGGGTCACAAAGAATGGCTGGTTCGATTTTTTATTTTTTTTAGTATTTTGATTTTTTTTTTAATAATTCTTGAATTATTATATTTAAAATTGACAGGCTGAAGTGAATTTTTTGGGTGACCTGGTTCATCCTAATTTGGTTAAATTAGTCGGCTACTGTATTGAAGACGATCAGAGATTGCTCGTCTACGAATTCATGCCTAGAGGAAGCTTGGAGAACCATCTTTTCAGAAGTACGTAAATATGAAATATATTCGACTCTTTTTTTTATATTTATAATTTTTTTTAATTATTATTATTAATAAATTGTAGGATCGTTGCCACTTCCGTGGTCGATAAGGATGAAAATAGCACTAGGTGCTGCAAAGGGGCTCGCTTTTCTACACGAGGAAGCGGAAAGACCGGTTATATATCGTGATTTTAAGACATCTAACATCTTGTTAGATGCTGTAAGTATACTCGAACACTTTGTCCCTACGTATGTATTTATTTATTTTATTGGATAATATGTAATGTTTTTTTTTTTAAATTTGGCTGCCTAATTTCCAGGAATACAATGCCAAACTTTCCGATTTTGGACTTGCTAAAGACGCACCCGATGAAGGCAAAACTCATGTTTCTACGCGCGTGATGGGGACTTACGGTTATGCGGCCCCAGAGTATGTTATGACAGGTAAGAAAAACATATTTCCAATTTCTTTTAAATCCACTTCTTAAATTAGAAAATGTTCTCAAAATTATCTCTAATTAAAGATTAGTGACTCAAAATTTCACAAGAACATATTTTGAGTTTATTGCATTCAGCACCACTGTATTACAATTATTAGCAAAAAATCCCCATCATGCATTTTTTTAGCCCCTAAATGACGCATTTTTGTGGGGTTTGCTAATATTAATAACATGGGTAGTTTTTTAACAGTTATAGTAAACACAGGGTGTGGAATGCAATTAACCCAAAATCTCTGATTCTTTTTTTGTTTTGTTTTGTTTCTGCACAGGACATCTCACATCCAAAAGCGACGTATATAGCTTCGGAGTCGTACTCCTCGAAATGCTCACGGGCCGAAGATCGATGGACAAGAACCGGGCCCAGGGAGAGCACAACCTCGTGGAGTGGGCCCGGCCCCAACTTGGGGAGAGGAGGCGTTTCTACCGTATCATAGACCCTCGCCTAGAGGGCCATTTCTCCATCAAAGGTGCCCAAAAGGCCGCCCAGCTGGCGGCCCGGTGTCTTAGCCGGGACCCAAAAGTTAGGCCTCTCATGAGCCAGGTCGTCGAAACTTTGAAGCCTCTACCGAACCTCAAGGACATGGCTAGCTCGTCTTACTATTTCCAGACCTTGCAGACGGACCGGGCCGGGTCCGGCCCGAATGGGAAAAATGGGATCCGAATGAACGGGTCGTTTTCGAGAAACCATCATCATCCAAGGAGCCTATCTATACCCAACGGCGGTGGGTCCCACGCCGCATCACCGTATCATCATGAGGTGGCGGCTCGTGATTCGCCGAAACCGAACGGTAAACCGTAGAGTATCCGGGTGGGTACGTGTTGTTCTCTTTCTTACTGCTGTTTTTGTTGTAAGATAAACATCACACGATTTTACGATTTTAGAAGCGTGTTTTTGAAGTTTTTAGTCTTTTGATGAAGATAGGGTGTTTTCGAGTTTTTAGATGACAGGTGTGAAATGTGTGTAATAGATTTGTTGGCATATACCTTCCGAATCAGGAGAAAGGTTAGTATAATCGAGAATAATACAACGGTCAAATCTTGATTGACACGAACAACTTTCAATTTATTCCATGCTATATCAGTATATATATATGATCATAAATATTCACACGAAAATTACACACACCCATTGTAAATAAACAATAAATCTTTATTGAATTCTTAGCTGAACCAAACAATACCACTGTGGTTCAAGTGTTGATCTCACAAATCATTTTCAAAAAAGAGTTTTCGACTCTCCGTTACATGCTGAATTATCAATTCCCAGCATTATTTTTCGTTAAAAAAATGGCCTCGTCGCATTAAAGGCTCAAAATTTGGTAAAAACGAAACCAATGGCATTGATAGAATCTCGATACGAATCTACTTTTATTGCTGACAAAACAATTTTTTACCAAGAAAAAAATTCCTCACGGCTTGAGAGCAACAGCAAGCCCGATTTTGGCGGTCTTGTCTATAGCTCTGGTGTCAACTTCACCTGAAATAGTGACGAGAGATTTTGGACGCCATTGATGCTGTATTAGAGCACTCGCCTTTCCGTAGTTGTTCAGACGAGCTTTGACAGACGTCAGATGATCGAGCGAGTGCTGTGTTCCAATCGTGAGTGTGTTTTCGTTGCTCGTAAAACTGTGGGTCAACTCTGCTCCTACTGCTGTATTGGTCAACGGGCTGACTGTGTGGAAGTATGATGCTGTCAAGCTTTGACCTTTATCATTTCTGTACAAAAAAATAAATAAAATAAATAAAATGGCAATCATCAAGAAAATGAAAATTCACGCTATTTCTCCCTTTCAGCTAGCGATTATGCCTCGTTTTTTTATAATTTTCAAAGTTATAAAATGGAAGTTACTTACAGAATGAAGGAAGCAATTAGGTCGGTAGTGGTAAAACTAACTCCGGCATTGTATTTAGTAAAATTTCCAGTAGCAGTGTCGAACGAAACATCGGTCCCAAACGCAGCCTTGTGACTCCCAGCTACACCGGAGAAGTTGACTATTGGTTTTGCAGTCAACCCAAGGCTAGTACTAATTGCAGCGTATTCGTGAAAATACTGAAGTTCCACCTGTAAGCAAAATTATATACCGTAAAGTACACCGACTACAATAATGCAATAATTCGTTCGGCATAATGCAAAATAATCAAAGAAAAAGGCTATAAATTCACGAAATATTAAAAACGAATAACCTTGCCAGATTTCTGGTCGGGAGCAGCAAAGCTAATGATAGCCTTCACTCCAGGTGCAGGCTCGTCCACAGTGATGGTTGTGCAAACCTATATTACCATACAACTTATTGTTAAATGGCCATGTAATTAATCGATCTACATAAATTTGTAAAAAATCAAGAAAAATAAAATAAAATAATTAATAGCGAAGATTGGACTAATTACAAAAGAACTAGCTAACTTTCGTACATTAACAAAAATTAAGAGAAGCATAAAATAATTACTGAAAAAAAATTATAACTAAAGTATACATATTACGATTTTTTTTTTGTGATTTTGCTAAACTGTTAAAAAATTAGGGAAACAATTCCTAGATGAACTATTTTTTGACTAATTATGGATAAAACATCTTCTACCATACATTTGAGTGTTAAAAAAATCTTAAAAATATTTCTACATTTCAGTGAAATTTTACAAAAAGTGTGTGCTATTAGTGAAACAATTTTAGATGAACAATTTCTTGATTACTTATGGATAAACATCTTTTATACTATGTATTTGAGTGTTAATAACAGTTAAAAAAATATTTTCAAATTTCAAAGAATTTAAGCAAAAAGTGTGAGCTATATATATAGTACACGATTTTTTGTGAATTTTGCTCGAATGTTAGAAAATTCGTGAAACAATTTTTAGATGAACAATTTCTTGATTACTTATGGATAAACATCTTTTATACTATGTATTTGAGTTTTAATAACAACTAAAAAAAATATTTTCAAATTTCAACGATTTTAAGCAAAAAACGTGTGCTTATACGATTTTTTGTGATTTTTGTTCGAATGTTAGAAAATTAGTGAAACAATTTTTAGATGAACAATTTCTTGATTACTTATGGATAAACGTCTTTTATACTATGTATTTGAGTGTTAATAACAACTAAAAAAATATTTTCAAATTTCAACGATTTTAAGCAAAAAACGTGTGCATAGTATACGATTTTTTGTGATTTTTGCTCGAATGCTAGAAAATTAGTGAAACAATTTTAGATGAACAATTTCATGATTACTTATGGATAAACGTCTTTTATACTATGTATTTGAGTGTTAATAACAACTAAAAAAAATATTTTCAAATTTCAACGATTTTAAGCAAAAAACGTGTGCCTATTATACGATTTTTTGTGATTTTTGCTCGAATGCTAGAAAATTAGTGAAACAATTTTTAGATGAACAATTTCTTGATTACTTATGGATAAACGTCTTTTATACTATGTATTTGAGTGTTAATAACAACTAAAAAAAATATTTTCAAATTTCAACGATTTTAAGCAAAAAACGTGTGCTATAATAGTATGCGATTTTTTGTGATTTTTGCTCGAATGCTAGAAATTAGTGAAACAATTTTTAGATGAACAATTTCTTGATTACTTATGGATAAACGTCTTATACTATGTATTTAAGTGTTAATAACGGCTAAAATAATTTTTTCAAATTTCAACGATTTTAAGAAAAAAAGGTGTGCTAGTATACGATTTTTTGTGATTTTTGCTTTAATGTTAGAAAATTAGTGAAACAACTTTTAGATGAACAATTTCTTGATTACTTATGGATAAACATCTTTTATACTATGTATTTGAGTGTTAATAACGGCTAAAAAAATAATTTCAAATTTCAACGATTTTTAGCAAAGAACGTGTGCTATAGTATACAATTTTTCGTCATTTTGCTCGAGTTGTTAAAAAAATAGCGAAACAACTTTTTAATGAACGAGTTATTAACTACTTATGGAAAAAATACAAAATGGTTCAAAATAAAAGTAAGAAGCACGATCGAGGAAAATAAAAAAACGGACTCACATTGGAGTTAGTATCCACTTTCAAATCAGTTGTGATGTTTTTGTTCTTGAGCTGTGTATTGACATCGCCCAAAATTAATTCGCCTTTCTTAGTCCCCGTGGATGTAATTGCCTGCATATTCAAAACCGATAGACTAATTAGATACCTTCATATTACAATTTACACGAATAGTTTATATTATGACCGCAACAACCATCTAAACGACAATGAATCTGTTCATTAAAGTCTGTAATAAAATCCAGTATCTTAAAAGAACAGCACACTTTCATACCGTTCTAAATAGTCGAAAACCAAGAACAAAGATGCAGATTAGGTATTTAACAAAAAATACGAGTGACGAACTAACTACACCGAAAATCAATCATTTCTGCAACTGCATACATAAATATTGCCTCATCCGAGACCACATTTTCCTTTTACATTTCTTTACGAAAGTCGGACGTTTTTTTTTTGTCTGAATCGAAAGATCACATGAATAAAATTTCAATATATCTTGAATAAACACACATATCTGATCTCTTTCCACTAAAATACTGAATTAAACTAAAAAAAAAAACCCTTCTAAATTAGTGTAACGACAGATTAACAAAGTGAGAAAGCGAAAATTGAAAGTCACAAATGGGTTATTTTGTCAAATAACGACTTAATCGAGGCTATTTATCAATTATAACTAAATGGAGGGACTATCTACTAATGATTCGTCACAAGCACAACTCAATGCATACAACAGCTAAACATTTGTTTCATCAATCAAATTAAATCGAGACCCTGAAAATTTATCTTGCATAAAATAAAACAATGGCCGATCCAACATTCTAATGATTACCACGAAAACAATTTCTAAAAAATGAAATAAAAATAAAATAAAATAACAATACTAACCAATCCATTTGAACTGTAAGTAGTGAGAGTGAATTTATGGTCGCCCTGATAATCCTTGTAGAGAAGATCTGGAAACGCAGAAACGGATCAAAGTTATTCCGATCAAATCACACGAATCAAAACAAATTTTAATTTAAAAAAAATAAAAATAATGAAGAAATTAAAAAAACTTGCCTCTGGCTCTCTTGCCAATGTCAGGGTATAAGCCTGGACCTTTCACGAAAACCATTTCTTCCTTGTTTTGCTTGGAGAAGAAACTAGAGAGAGAAAGTGAAAAATTCTAGAGAGAGAAGAAGAAGGAGATGGTGGTGTTAGCTTTTGTCAGCTTAGGGCCTTTTAGTTTTCGGATCCTAATTTATTGCGTTGAACTTTCTCTATAATTGTTTTTTTAAGTATTAAAACACCTGAAATTATTTTCTAATTTTGTTTTTAAACATTTTGAACTATCTATGGCTGTCTGTAAATTTTTATTTTAGGGACGAAAATCAGACTGATTGATGAGTCGAAAAACTATTCTAAATATATTATGAATTTTTTTTTTAAATAAAAAAATGGGTTTTAAAATTATAATGAAAACACTTGTTCCAAAATCGGATATTTTTATTTTTATTTTTATTTTTTGGTCACATATATTATAAAATACATAATAATATTATTATTGTAGGTGTAATTTTAGAAACAAATATCGAAATTTTTGTAATTGGTTCGGAAATAAAAATATAATATATAATCCAATTTCATTAAAGAAAAAATCGGAAATTATTATTATTATTATTATTATTATTATTATTATTATTATTATTATTATTATAATTATTATTATTATTAGGTAATTGGGCTTGTCGTGGAATGGGTCACATTCTCACAACGCACAGTGACAATAACAAGGCCCATATTGTTGTTTTTTTTGATAATTAATATGGCCCATATTGTTGTTACTATATAAAGAGTGATAAATTGATAAAAATAAAATGCTTAAAATAGAAGAAAAGTAAAAACTCGGATAAGACCATTTAGAAAATGCCACGTTATGCTGCAATGGAACCTAGGCAGCTATACCTAACCTAACCTAGTAGTCGCCTCGTCGGACAAGTGGGACCATTTTTTTGTTTTTTTGTTTTTCATTTTCGAAGTCTCACTTTCACCAATAAATATTTTAATTAGTATCTTCATTTTTTTTCTTAATTTGTAGCCATTAATGAAAGATAAAATATGTTCGGAATAGTTGATCCAACAAATTAGTTCGTGTTGGAGATGAATCGAGAGGAAAGCTTGCATAACGCCATGCACGAGAGAATCTCGTTAAGCTGGCCGGCAAATTTGTTAAGGCGCTATAACATATTAGGTAACGACAGTGGATTATGGACTCAATTCGCACGTGCAAGTTGGCTGATGGAAGAGAGTATAAAAGACATCTTTTTATAAAAACAAAGAGATACGTACACTAGTCTGTAACCGAAAATGTAGGGTAGCTTCTCAATCCGAATCAAGTTAATTCTCCGCGTGTCTTCGTTTAAATTAATTGTATCGACAAAGAAATCAAATTAATTTATAGTATGAGGTCGGTGACAGTTTCACCATTATTTGCATTGTCCAAATTTCAATTATTAGGATAATTTTAAAGTGTTTAGACAAAAACAAGCTAAAAATGAACTTTATTTAATATTTTATTTGTTCCAACAATATATAATTAAATAGTTGTTAATTAAGAATAATTAACATAAATATATATTTAATTACCATATATCATTTCTTAAATGAATATTACTACGGTTAAATTTGTAATTCGTACATGCAAGAGATAAAAAAAAAATTCAAAAAAAAAGCCTGAATTGATGACTACACAATAGTAGATCTTGAAAAGATGAGCAAGAGAAAGGGGAAAAGTTTTTTTCAGAATGAGAGTGACCTGTACGGATTGTGAAAGCTGGATCCCTTTTGATGAACGTAAAAAGTTAAAATAATATTTACTCAAAAAAAAAAAAAAAGTTTAAAATAATATTAAATCACTTTGCCGCGAAATGAATTTATCGCCTTTTACTTTGCTTGATATTTTCGGAAATCACCCTCCAGATATTTCTCCTGTTTATTCTCTCCTTAATTATTGATCACAAAAAATTCCTTCATTTTTTATTTATTTATTTATGTATTATATATATATAGGGGAAGAAGAAATTGGGAAATTTTATGATAATTATATACCAACCACCACCAGCACCACCACCACCACCACCACCGGCCACCGGAAAGCCTCTGACAAGGTGTTGAAGAAAAATGTCTGCAGTTGCTACGGAGCTACTCTTCCACCACCGCGTCCACCGGATTTCTCCCAAATTAATCCCCAAATTCCACTTGATTTCGAGAAAGTCTCCGACGTTTAACCTTATCTGCGATACCACCACCACCGACCGCCGCTTCGTCGGTACTGGCCTCTGCTCCCGCTACTATAAGCCTCTCAAGGCTGTCAGCTCCGCCGGCGCTGCCGTGCTTGAAACCTCGGAGTCTTCGACCATCACATTCAGCGAAACTTTTCAATTGGAACGAGTGGAGAAGGTGCATTTTTATCTTTTTTTTTTTGTTGATATACGCATGGTGTATTTGTAAGTTTATGGATTTATCTGCTGATTTTATCTGCATTTTGTGCATTCTGTAATGTGTTTGGTAAAACTTCTATGCATAAGTGTGTTCCTTGATGAGATCAATTGGGAAGTAAATGTTTACGCTATGAAATTGAGTATTTGTAATTTTTGTATTTCTGTTGTTTTCAATTTTTAATTTTTTATGTTAGTCGCTATCTTCTGAAGCGTGTCGAAACTAAAATACCGTCGGAATGTGAGAAAAAAACCTCAATGGCTCGACCTGTTGAGTACTACTAGAGTTAAATCGTTTTCGTAAATTTGAATACTTAACTTGATTACTGTGATGATTAATTCTAAGTCCGGCTATCCGTTGACTTAGGCATCTATATAACAGAGTATATGTATGGTTCGAGTTGAGTATTACTAGTATTAAATTCCGTTGGTTTTTGGAATGACAGGTGGAAGGAAAAATAACAATCAAATTGGACAAGGGGGAAACTGAAGAGTGTTGGCAGCTAATTGTGGGATGTAGTATACCTGGAAAGTGGATTCTTCACTGGGGAGTTAATTACGTTAGCGATGTCGGCAGGTAACTTTTTTTATCTTTGTGGCATTAATTCACAATTTCAAGATTTTGTATCCAGAGATGAGTTTTCTTAGACGCCATTGTTTGTTGATTGCGTTGTTATTTACAATAATTTCCCTGAGATAGTTCACGAAGCCTTCGTAAATAATTTGTTGTAATCTAATTATTGTAGTGAATGGGATCAACCTCCTCTGGATATGAGGCCTCCAGGTTCTATTCCCGTTAAGGTAAATAATCAAAAATATTGATTCTCATGATTGATGCGTGTGAATTTGTTATTGTCGTTTTTCTATCCATCCAATATTCTTACATATGGTTGGTATTGATTACCTTACAGGATTATGCAATTGAGACTCCCTTAGAAAGCAAATCTGAATTGGCAGAAGGGGAAGCATTTTCTGAAGTTGCGATCGTATTCGATACAAAGAGTTCAATTGCATCTATAAATTTTGTATTAAAGGTATTTTCTGTTGTCTGGCTATTGATGACTAAGTTTCTTCGTTCATTTTAGTTCATCCTTGTTTCTTACATGCTTTCTTTCTTAACTGTTTAGGACGAGGAAACCGGGCGTTGGTATCAGCACAGAGGAAGAGATTTCAAAGTGCCTCTTATTGAACACCCCCAAATCGATGTCAAAGCCGGAGAAGGTAAAAACGGCTTGCTTATTATGTAAATGTTAAAAGAGTTCTCTCTTTTTTAGATACCACGCCTAATATATTTCGAATCTTGATTTTTTTTTTGCTCGACAGTTGAGTAACTTGTCTCTTATGGCAGGTGACGTGGCACAGCTAACCACCGTACTTGTTAAGCCCGAAGCAGCTGAATCTAAAGGGGATGATATTGGGGGGGTTCGTTTGCAAAGGGGACCTCTTCAAAGTTTTTATGAAGAATTCTCGGTTGTTAAAGAAACTGTTAACTCTAACTCTATATCTGTGTCTGTTAAGCACACTGAGGAGAAAGACAAATGTGTTTTGTATATAGAAACTGATTTACCAGGAGATGTAGTTGTTCACTGGGGTGTTTGCAGAGATGAAAGTAAAAAATGGGAAATCCCGGTCGAACCTTATCCACCTGGAACAATTGTGTTCAAGAACAAGGCATTGAGGACTCTTCTACAGGTATGCATATTAAAAGTTCTTTTTTTTTTTTTTTTTTTTTTTTTGTAAATCTCGATGATTTATTTGCAGCGAAAAAATGACGGAGATGGATCTGGTGGGTCATTTACGTTGGGTGAAGGGCTTTTGGGATTTGTTTTTGTGCTGAAGCTGAACGAGAATGCATGGTTAAACTGCAAAGGAAGCGATTTTTACATACCCTTACCAAGAACAGTGGTCCCAGACAAGCTTTCTGTCTCCCCATTGATTTCCGAAAATGCTTCCGAATCAAATCAAACATCTTCCACATACACAGACGGAATCATAAGCGAGATAAGGAGTTTAGTGACTGATATTTCCTCCGAAAAGACTCGACAGACAAAAAACAAAAAAGTACGTGAGAGCATTCTCCAAGAAATCGAGAAGCTCGCAGCAGAAGCATACAGTATTTTTAGAAGTTCTATACCAACAGTTCCGAAAATTGATCTAGCGGAAGATGAGGTTTTGGAACCCCCTGTAAAAGTATGTTCAGGAACTGGTTCAGGAAATGAAATCGTATGTCAGGGGTTTAATTGGGAGTCTCATAAATCGGGAAATTGGTATATAGAGCTCCAAGAGAAAGCATCAAAATTATCTGAACTCGGTTTCACTGTGATCTGGTTACCTCCACCAACTGACTCCGTGTCGCCCGAAGGTTACATGCCGAGCGATTTGTATAACTTAAACTCAAGGTATTCTATCTATAAGTTATCTTAATTCTGTGTAATGGGTAATTCATCGATAAAGCTTGAGTTGTTTCTGTTCATGAATGCTGGTTAGGTATGGAAGCATTGATCAGTTAAAGGTGCTTGTGAAGAAACTGCATGAAGTAGGTATAATGGTTCTTGGAGATGCTGTCTTAAATCACCGATGCGCGCAGTTTCAGAATCAAAATGGTGTGTGGAACATCTTCGGTGGTCGTTTGAACTGGGATGACCGTGCAATTGTTGCAGACGATCCGCATTTCCAGGTTCGGAAAATCCTTCACTTGAAAGTCATCTTAGATAAAAATTTTCAAAATATTGTATTAGATATCATCAAAAGGCGACACTTTTAAATTCAATTTCTGACTATATATAGATAGGGAATCTCCTTGAACTCTTTGAAAGTTGTTTGAAGTGTGATCTCTTCAGTTGCAGATGCCAAATTTTGTTAATTTTTTTTTTTTTTTTTTTTTTTTTACGTCAAGTCTATCGACTTAATTATGCTGCAACCATTGGAAGCTATTTCTGATAGTTTACTTACAGGGAAGGGGAAATAAGAGCAGCGGAGATAACTTCCATGCAGCTCCAAATATTGATCACTCTCAAGAATTCGTGAGAAAGGATATCAGAGAATGGATGAACTGGCTGAGGTTAGTCGAGTAGTGTTGAAATTCGCATTTTATTAATAGCGAAAGCTGCATCTTGGTATTTCACAGCCAATTATTTTCTTCACTTTATTTAATTTGCATATAATTATTATATTATGTGCTTTACTACTAGGGAAGAGATTGGTTATGATGGATGGAGGCTCGATTTTGTACGAGGGTTTTGGGGTGGATACGTAAAAGACTACATGGAATCAACCGAGCCTTACTTTGCTGTGGGCGAGTATTGGGATTCTCTAAGCTACACATACGGTGAAATGGATCACAACCAAGATGCTCACAGGCAGAGAATTGTCGATTGGATTAATGCTACCAATGGAACTGCAGGTGCATTTGATGTCACCACCAAAGGAATTCTTCACTCTGTAAGCATCATTCCTTTCTCTCGTTTTCAAGGCCGATTTTTTTTCTTTTTTGAACAAAAATAAAATAAAATAAAAAATAAATAATGTTCTTGCCTAATGTATAGACACTCGAAAGATGCGAATATTGGCGATTATCGGATGGGGAAGGAAAACCTCCGGGTGTAATGGGATGGTGGCCTTCGAGAGCTGTTACTTTTATTGAGAATCACGATACTGGTTCGACTCAGGTGTGGACATCGTTTTATTGAAATAATTGAATTTTCTCTGAGCTGGTTTACACTACGAAACTGATTCGAGTACATATACGGTATACCATTCTTTTTTTTTTTTTTTTTTATTTTTTTTTTCCATTTCCCTTCTGATTTGAAGGGTCATTGGAGATTCCCATCTGGAAAAGAAATGCAAGGCTATGCCTATCTTCTAACTCACCCTGGAACACCATCAGTTTTTTACGATCACATCTTTTCCGATTACCAAAACGAAATATCAGCACTCATCTCTGTCAGAAAACGGAACACAATCAACTGCCGCAGCAGAGTAAGATTTGATTTTTTTTTTTTTTGTTTTTTCTGCATAATAGTTATAGAAATTAGTTATATATATTTTATTTTTTGATATAGGTTACGATAATCAAGGCGGAGAGAGATGTGTATGCAGCAATTGTTGACGAAAAATTGATTATGAAAATTGGACCCGGTCACTATGAGCCCACAACGGGTGCGGAAAATTGGTCTGTAGCGGTTGAAGGCAGAGATTACAAGGTCTGGGAGTTAACACGAAAATAGACAGAATTTTATCGAAGAATTATTCCATCAAGAGACGAAAGAATCATTTCTCACAAATTTATCGGATGTCCGATCCTCGATTTTGTTGCTTCGTTATCTATCCTCGGGCTCTTACATATTTATCCCAATCTACGAGAGTTGTAATCACTGGATGGGATTAGCCTGTAAGCAACTTGTATGTATCATTTTGTAAGTGAGAGTTGTAATAAGTGTTGTATAAGCTGCTAAATGTACCTTCCAGAACCAGACGTAATATATTTTATGAGACGTGTCATTAAAAGAAACTCGTTTTGATGCTAATTGTTGATCAATGTCGATTTAGTACGTAATACCAGGACACGAATTTCGTATTATGTTTAAGGATTAAGATGCAGTTGCATAGTTTCAAACGAAATACATTGAATCATCGTACTATATAAAATATATATACATTGAATAACATTTCACCGTAGATTCTCTAAAAAAACGAGATTTCTCCGTAGATTCGACAAGGATATAACAAAATACATAGTATATAAGTATGCGTGACTGCGTGAGATGTAGTGAATTATGAATATTTACGGAGCATAGCATCTCATAAACTCGGTTCCCTCTCTGAACTCTAGAAAATCATATAAATTTAATGTCTAAAGGTTAAATTTGTTAAATTCCAAACTCTCGATGATCCAAATAAGTCGAAAATTATTTGTAACGATATCAATCCAAGGAGAACGGTGCCGTTTTGGGGAGAGAAGAAACGATGGCGTTTTAAGAAAAGCGCCCTTCTACTTAAAGAGTTGTTTCACGCTTTTATCTATTTTTCGTATTCGAGTGAACGACACCGTTTTACTGGGTCCTTGCAAGTAATGGGCTATAAAGGGCAAGGTGGGTGGACGGGGCAGAAAAAAGGAATTTCAGAATCTAGTTTGTAGTTAGGTTAGTGTAGCTCGTCTTTTAGCCTAATTTTCTCATTTTTCCTATCTTTTAATCTTGTAATCGAACACAATTTCTGAGCAATGGATTACTGTTATTATGAATCTAATTGGATTCATAACATTATTCATTTTGTATATTCTTGAAAAAATAATCGAAATTTTTGAGTATCATTTAGCTACCACATTAAAGAATTTGGTGAAAAAAATCAATACAGGAGAGTCGAACTAGACGACCATGTGGATGTAGCACCGACAAATATTTCGTAAATATATTTATGAAATTATTTTGTAAATCAAATTACACATTATCTTATAATATTTTTTTAAAATAAATATATATATATATATATTTCTTAAAATAATTAAATATGAACAAATCATTAGCCACATCACCTTAATCATTGGCAGACTTGGATCACCGGCAGAAAAAATAAAAGAATAAAAGTATTTTATTTAATTTAATTTTTTGTTAATTAGCCTCAAATGAAAATTAGTGGCCATAAGCCAATTGCTATTTGTAAGCAAAATGGTAAAGGCCAGGTATATGCTATTTGAATGTGTTTATGGTTGAACATCCTTCCCGCCATATATTTCGCAACACAAACTTTTTCAAGTGTTCTAAACCTACTATTTTTAACTCCCCCATTTTATTATAAATACCTTTCACCAATCTCTCATTAAAACATTGTGCTTTCTCCTCACAACCTAAATAAAAACAAATACAAATAAGAGGCGAATCACTGGTCTGCGCTTTCCAGTGATTCGCTGCACACAACGAAATAAAAAAGGAGAAAAAAAATTATAAAAAAAAATAAAAATCGAAAAATTTCGACTTAGTGAGTTCGATATGGCGCTCACTAATAACAAGCTATCGTTGCTCTTCTTCTGCATCGCGCTAGCACTCGCGGTGACACTGCCTAGAGCGCATGCACAAAACGCTACAATGGACGAGTATTTGCAGAAAAAGGCCGAGGAAGCGTACCAGGAGTCCCTTCAGGCATACAATCCCCACCCCGAGGAATTGACCGAGGAATTCAACGAACTCGTTGGCGAGTAAGTCAATTTACACTTATAACCCTTTTTTTGGTTGCAACACACATCCATATGTATGTGTGTGTGTGTGATTATATGTAGATCTGCAGTGCAGTCAGATATACACTGTATCTGATGTATTTCACCTGATGTAACAGGACCCTGATAGGCCAGAACGCCACAAGGAGGCAACTCAAACAAACCGGCGAATGCATGGCGACCAACCCCATCGACCGGTGCTGGAGGTGCGACCGCAATTGGGCCAAGAACCGCAAGAAGCTGGCCGACTGCGCCCGCGGCTTCGGCCACCAAACCACCGGAGGCAAGAAGGGTAGATACTACCTAGTCACCGACCCGTCAGACAACGACATGGACCACCCCAAGCCCGGAACCCTCCGCCACGCTGTCATCCAAACCGAGCCGTTGTGGATCATCTTCGCCCATAGCATGGTCATTAGGCTCAAGCAAGAGCTCATCTTCACAAGCGACAAGACCGTCGACGGAAGAGGAGTGCAAGTCCACATCGCCTACGGAGCCGGCCTCACGCTACAATTCGTCCACAATGTCATCATCCACAACATATGGATCCACAACATCATACCAAGAAACGGCGGTTTGATTAGGGACGCAATCAACCACCTCGGGTTCCGCACGCAGAGCGACGGTGATGCAATCAGTATCTACAGCTCGAACAGGATTTGGATCGACCACGTGTCGCTGTCGCGTGCCACCGACGGGCTCATTGACATCATCGAGGGGTCCACCGCCATCACCATCTCCAACTGCAAATTGAACCACCACAACGACGTAAATTACTTATTTTCATTACATCATTTTATTTATTCTACTATTTTTATTTTCGTTCATGCATGACGACGTAACGGCGCAGGTTATGCTCTTGGGTGCGCACGACGCACAATCAAGAGACGCGATCATGCAAGTGACGGTCGCATTCAATAGGTTCGGGATCGGGTTGATCCAGAGAATGCCGAGGTGCCGATGGGGTTTCTTTCACGTCGTCAACAACGATTACCAACATTGGGAATTGTACGCCATCGGAGGAAGCGCCCACCCCACCATCATCAGCCAGGGCAACCGTTTCAGGGCCGCCGATTACCAATACACCAAGGAGGTAATATTAGATTCTGATTTCCGATCCGATTTCAATTTTCTTAAAAAAATAGTTTCCGAATTCCTTCAACTATCGTTTATATATATATAGGTGACGAAGAGGGATTACGCGACAAAAGACGAGTGGATGAAGTGGCAATGGAGATCGGAAGGAGATTTGTTCATGAACGGAGCATTCTTTACGGAATCGGGGCCGGCGATCAAACACGTCAGAAGTCCGTTGAACGGCCGGAATATGATCAAGTTCAAGCATGGTTCATTCGTCGGTAGGCTCACGCGCTCTGCTGGTGCCATCAAGTGCCGTCCTGGCAAACTCTGTTAATTTAATCCATTTTTCTTTTTTCTTTTTTAAATTCTAGAAAATTGTTTTTTTTTTTTGCTTTTTCGTAACTTGAATAAATTCTTTTTAAACCATTTGGTTTCATTAAATTAATATGGAGGGGAATATGAAGAGAAGAAAGTGTAAAGAATGAAGAAAGGATCCTCCTACGAAATTAATTATTTATATTTTATTTTTTTATAATAAGAAGCCAATTTTTGTTTCTTAATTCATGTAAGCTGTAAATTGTTTTGTTTGAGAGAGTTCTTTTAGTATTCATTAAATTAAAATAATTCTGAATTCAACTATGCTTCTTGTTCTTATTAATTACTGTTTCTTATTTAATTTGTCCGACAATTTCCTTATTTATTTATCGGGCCACAAATATTTAAATACATCAGCCCATAATTAAATTAATCAAGCTTAAAAAAAAGTTAATTATTATATAAAATTACACTCAAACTATTTATAAATTGCAATTATTTTCTTTGTATTTTTATTTAGGGAGAGGGTCTAATATATAATCACATTTAATTGTGGACTTCAATTTATTTTGCTGGGGTTCGTTAAGTACAAAGTTTGTCACACGAACATTTTAGTAGCTCATGCTATGTACTTATTATTTACTCAGTAGAACTTAAAACTACACTACGAATATCTGCATGAGCTAACTAATAATATTTAATTCAAAATTATATTAGGTAGAAATTAATGAAATTAATGATTTTTGCTGACTTCGATCAATTCTCTTTTTTGAAAATAATATTTTCATTCTGAATTCGAATTTTCCCTTTTTTAATTAAAATTAGAATATATATATGAAATTTCGAATCCTGGCCAAATTTTAATTAAAATAATTTTAATACTATCAATATTATCATGAATTTTATATTATATATGAATATAAAATAAAAAAGAAAATTGGATCCACTTATTACGGTTAAATATTCCAATTTCCAATTTTTATTACAATTATTCTCGATTTTATGAAATTTGTTGGAACAAAATTAAAATTAGGTTATCGATTTCTAGAAAAAAGTCAAAATTTTATGAAAAGTGCAAAAATTCAATTTTGATTTCTACATACCAACTATAGAGAGAAGGCATCAGGTACGAGGTAATGACAACCTGACACGTGTAGATATTTCTTACAAATGGCAATCCCATATTTCTTCATGCAGATTCAACCCGAAAAAAGAGGAACCCTCAAATTCAGATCTTCAATCTCAAGACCTAACAAAAAAAAAAAAACTGATCACCACCAGATCCACCACAGCTGCAGAAGAAGAATTAAAGGAACCCTCAAATTCAGATCTTCAATCTCAAGACCTAACAAAAAAAAGTAATTAATTACCTTTTTTTTTTTCTGGTCGCGTTTAATTTACAGTAGTAATTGCAGAAGAAAATGGCGACGGCGCAAGAATCGAGAATGGAAAAAAACGAAAGCTTTGATTCATATTTTGAGATGGTTCAATCAAGAAAGAAGCTACCTCCTTCATTACAGGATTCTCTTACTTCTTCTTTTGCAAAAATCCAGGTTTCTTCCTTCCCACAAGTCCCCGGTGGCAAAGGTAATCTCTCTCTCTCTCTCTCTCTCTCTCTCTCTCTCTCTCTCTCTCTCTCTCTCTCTCTCTCTCTCTCTCTCTCTCTCTCTCTCTCTCTCTCTCTCTCTCTCTCTCTCTCTCTCTCTCTCTCTCTCTCTCATCGTAATATAAATAATAATAATAATATATAAAATAAAATATATATGCAGTTATCGAGATTCTGGCAAGTACGCCGGTGGGTGATGCCGTGAGAATCTTATCAGAATCGAATATTCTGTCTGCTCCGGTGATCAACCCGGATTCCAAAGATACATTGGACTGGCGAAAAAGATACCTAGGAATCTTAGATTATTCCGCTATTATACTTTGGGTGCTGCAGAATGCAGAAATGGCGGCAGCTGCTTTATCCGCCACGTCAGCAGCTGCTGCCGGGGTTACCACGGGTGCCGCTGGTGCGCTCGGTGCACTAGCGCTCGGTGCCACGGGCCCACTTGCGGTTGCCGGACTCGCTGCCGCCGCCGTTGGGGCGGCGGTGGCCGGTGGTGTGGTTATTGATAGGGGAATGGGGAAAGATGCCCCGACTGCGGCGGATAAGCTAGGCGAAGACTTTTACAAGGTTATCCTTCACGAGGAGCCTTTTAAGTCAACCACGGTAAATTCGACTATTTTTTCGTTTGTTCAACAACTCGTGACACTGGCAACTTAGGGGTGGAAATCGGACGGACATGTTTGGAATTAATTAGCACTCGAAAAAAATCCAATTTTTTTTGGAGGTGAAAAGCTAATTTCGCTTCCGTCCAAAAAAAAAATCGGAAAATTGGTTAGGAATTTAGGAAATTGGAGTGAAAATGATAATCCGGGTATACCAAAATCAGCCGAATCTAAAAATTCCGTTCCAATTTCCACCCCTAGATAGCTCATGATTTTTTTTCTCGATTGGTGGGAATTAAGTTGTATGTTTGAGCTTTAATTCGTATTTTTTGTTTGACTAAAAGGTGGGGTCGATAGTGAAGTCATACCGGTGGGCCCCATTTGTACCGGTGGCTCCGGATAGTTCAATGCTTAGTGTGATGCTACTACTATCAAAGTACAGGCTCCGGAATGTTCCGGTAATCGAAACCGGAAATCCGTCAATGAAAAACTTCATAACGCAGTCGGCGGTCATACAAGGTCTTCAAAGATGCAAAGGAAGGGACTGGTTCGACACTATCTCCGCCCATCCTTTAACCGATCTTGGACTTCCTTTCATGTCTTCGGATCAGGTAATTATTCATAACTTCAGGGGGCTCAATGTAATTTCTCAAAATGTAAGGGTTTTTTAGTAAATTGATTTTATCTCCGGGAGGTGGTTGTAATTTACCGTATTTTTCAAATTTAAGGTTTTTGCCTTTTTTTTTTTTTGAATTAAGTTTGTCCGAATTAATTAGGTTGTATGTGTTCAAGACAATGAATTGATTCTAGAAGCATTTGCGAAAATGAAAGACAAACAAATCGGTGGCCTCCCGGTTATCGATGGAGCGACGAGGAATATTCTTGGGAATATAAGTATAAGGGATGTTAGATTCTTATTGCTCAAGCCTGAACTCTTCTCAAATTTCAGGTATATATATATAAATAAATTTCTAAATATATACTCTAGTGCATTGTGACTTGCATGCATTTTAGAAGGTTCTAGAAGGTTCATATCGAATGTTGGAATGCAGGGAGCTCACAGTGAAGGATTTTATCGCGACGGTTTCTGCAGAGACGAACGACATTTGGAGGACAGTGGCACCAATAACGTGCAAACAAGATGCGACACTTGGCAGCATTATAGACACACTGGCTTCGAGATCGGTGCACAGGATCTACGTTGTTTCTTCGGGTGAGAATAGCAAGGCTGTGATTGGTGTGATTACGCTTAGGGATGTGATCTCGTGTTTTATACACGAGCCGCCGAAGTTCTTCGATAATTACTTTGGGTTTGCTGCTCAAGAACTATTAAATCAGTGATTTATGTATTATAAATAAGGTTTTGAATTTTTATTGTAGTATATTTTTCCTCTTTTAAGTGATTAGGATTTTGCCCGTAATAAATTGTGTTGCAATAAAAGCCATGGGAGTAGAAATATATACGGAATAAAATAAAAGGTACAACCATGGAATTCTTTTTTGTTTGGATAGTTACAATATTTATCTTCCTCAATTATAAATTTTTTTATACATCTATCTCTGTGATGTTAAATTTATTGGAATCTTCTAGATTATATATAATGTTTTTTAATTTGTATCCATTTTATTCTATTCGAGCTTCACATTTTGAAGTAAAATGATCATTAGATGTATTTTTTTGCTTGCATATATCAGATTGTAGCCCATCAGAAACTGCATTTTCTTTTATAAAATAAGTACAAAATTAAAGAACATTTCATGGGATTTTGAAGATTATTTCGCTATTAAATGCTACTATTGTATTAAATTAATAGCACCCACCTGTTAGAGGTTAATTTAATAGGATTGATTAAAAAGGAAAAAGACAATTTTATCCTTAAAATTATATCATATTATTTTAAACTAAGTGCTTTTATAGAAAATTTATATATAATAACTAAATTTAATAAATTTAATAGAAGATCTAATTAAAAAACCCAATATGCTACTAACTAAATAATTAATTAGCCAATAGAGAATTAATTCAGTCTCATCTAATCTAATATAATCTAATATAGATCAATAAAATAAAAATAGTAATCAGGAACGACGTCGCACGACCATAATAGCTAGGTACGAAGCCAACAAGGCAATAACTCCGGGCGAACAGGGCTGTAGTCGCCGGACTCCAGTAACGCCGACGTCTTCTCCGGCGGTTCGCCGTAAGCGCGGCTGTGAATCTCCACGACACGGAAGTTAAATTCAACGCCGTTAATACAGCTAGGGTACATGGGCTCAACGGTTTCCCACGCTATAGAAAGCACGATTTCGGCCAAGTGGCGGCGCTCGTTGCTGGTCAGGGGCCAGTCTTTGAATTCGCCGGCGATGACGTCACGCGCCTTTCCAGGGTCGTTGAATAATTGGCGGCAGTCGACGGAGATGGATTTCTTCTCCTTAGGAAGACCGACGTGACGGAGAAACTTCTGAAATATGCAAGGCGGTCGGAAAATCCAATCGTGGAAAGAAGATTCGAGAGTGAATTTGAAGTTGACGGCCAGCTGGCCGATTTGTGACGGCGGCGGCGAGGAGGAGGAGGAGGAGGAGAAGCTGCTGCTCCGCCTTGGCTTTTTCTCGTACAAGCGGTCCACGTCTAATAAGTACAATGATTTGCTGCAGGAACAAGAACTGGAATATTCCTCCATGTCCAAAGATTTATAGAGAGAGAGAGAGATCAAGAGAGAGAAAGTAGTGAAGAGAGGAAGGTAGGGGAGAGTAGTATTTATAAGATTGTGGTTACTTGTTAATTAATTAATTAATTAATCCTTAGTTTAGTAGAATCATAATACTTCTTCATCTAGGACTAGGAGGATTAATTTATTAATTAATTTAGGGTTTTATTTAATTCTTCCTTTTTTTTTTAACTAGTTCACCGCGTGTAATTTAGGAAAATGTATAATAATTTTTGGGGTAAATTACAACCAACCCCTAAGGTATGGTTAAATTACGAAAATCTACCTCTTGTTTTGGTAATTACAATCACTCCTCAACTATAAAATTTAGTGGAATCTTCTAGATTATATGAAATATTATCACTTTTGTACCCGTTTTATACTATTCGAACTCCACATTTTGAAGCAAGATGATCATAATATGTGTTTTTTGGCTTGTATATATATCAGATTGTGATACATCAGAAACTGTATTTTTACACAAAATGGGTACAAACTAGAGCACATTCCACGAAATCTAGATAATTATGTTGAATTTGACACCATAAAGGAGGAGGTGTAAGAAAAAAAATCATAGTTGAGGGGATAGATGTAAGTATCCAAACAAGATAATTTTTTTCGTAAATTGACCGTACCTCAGGGATGGTTGTAATTTACCCTAACTTTTAATACAACAAAAATTAAATTGATATATATATATAATAATATAAATACATATTTTGGAAAATCAAATTTGAAATACATTATTATGTTAAAAAAAATTGCAAATTGTATATGTGTATTAATTGATCTTTTTGAATCCGAATTTAGAAAATCTGAATGAGAAAAAAATTGTTCCTAACTATTATTATGTATATTATTTTTTTGCTTCATATCATGCCTTTTCCGGACAGAATAATTGCCGGCAATCGTCGGAGAAACTGTGGAAACGAAGTACCCTAGCGCGTGGAATATAAACTTGCGTAAATATTGAAATTATAATTAATTGATCACAATACCTAAATAATTAGTTCCAATGAAATCCTAAATATTTAAAATATTATAGTAACAATTAATTTGGAGTCGAATATATCTAATCCAAAAATCATTAAAGAAAGAAAACAAAATGGAAAAAAGCTGAAATTTGTATATTAATTTCCAGGAATACGACAATCTACATTTTAATGTTTGAGAAGAAGAAAAAAAAAATTAAAAAACAATTAGATCAAACTCGCCGGCGCCGGTCAAACATTGATATCTAAGAACTTAACTGAAGAGCGGGGACAAGGAAAATTCTGGGTCTCAGCGGCACCCAGCAGCACCGTCGCCGGCGGCGGTACATTGCCGGAAGAGTGCCTGTGTTTCTCGATCACACGGAAGCTGACGTAAACATGCTCAGTATCGATTGGGGAGATGGGTCGGACGACAACTGCTGCTTTGGAAACTGCGATTCCGGCCAACTCGTGCCGCTCCTCGGGACTCAGTGGCCAATCTGCGATTTCGCCGGCGATGGTGTCGCGTAGTCTTTCTGTAGTCAAGAATTGGCGGTGATCGAAGGAGATTGAGTTCTGCTTCGGTTCACCGTCGAATCGCCGGACAAACTGGGGGTCGGGGTACATAACCCAGTCGCAGTAAATGGCTTTGAAAGTGAGTTTGATGTTGACGGTGAGAACATGGGACCACGGCCGCGAGATTGAGAAGGAGGCGGCGCGTGGGGTTTTATGGGTCTCCACCATAACTAAGATCAATGATTTGCTGCAGGAGGGATATGCCATTTTCAAAGGTTGGAGGAAGTTCTAGAGAGAGAAAGAGAAATGAATTAAAGAAAATTTTCAGAGCAAAGTGATGATATAGGAGAGTACGTAGAATTTTTTTTTTTTTTTTTATACGTAGAAATTAATATATATATATATATATATATATATATATATATACGATTTTTTTTTTTATTATTTTTTTTTATTAATTGTTCAGTTGGTGAATTTAGTTATAATAACTGATAAAGCTGCAACAAGAATTCAAGATAGTATTTGTGATTTTGCTGTATAGTATATAATATCAAGATTAAGGTTTTTCTACCAGTTAATAAAGTCAACTTAAATGAGCATAACAAATTTCTAATCATAAATAGTTAATAGAATATTTACTTACAATTTTTTTAACTCAATTTAAATGAGTAACAAATTTCTAATTATAAATAGTTAATATAATAATTTCTTACAATTTATTTATTTTATCCAAAAAAATAAAAAAGAAGTGAAGTAAAAAGACAAGTTCAAGCAAATAATTATTAAAAGTTGATTTTAATTTTAATTAATTTGAGAAAAGAGTAGGATCTTATTTTTAATTAATTTGGGAAGATTGATTCTAGAAGCGTGCATTCGCGAAAATGAAAGACAAACAAATCGGTGGCCTCTCGGTTATATCGATGGAGCGACGAGGAATATATTCTGGGGAATATAAGCATAAGGGATGTTAGATTCTTATTGCTGTTATTGTTTCGGAGAAACTGTGCATATATACGAAGTACCCTAGCTAGCGCGTAATGGAGTCGTGAAAAATGGATTTGAAAGAGAATTACAAGTTGGCTGCGAGGATTTGCGACGATGAGGAGGCGAGCTGAGGTGGCGGCAGCCGAGGTTTCTCATCGTGAACGTGTGTGGGTTTTTGTCGGGACCGTCCATAACTAACTAAGTACGATGATTTGTCGCATGAAACATACACTAGGCCAAAATGCATTTCAGGCGACTTTTTTATTGCGACGAAAAAATATTTGTCGCACGATTTGCGACTATTTTATAGAAATTCGTCGCAAATAATTGGAAATAATAAATTTATAAGAATTATTGCGACGATAAATAATTTCGTCGCAAAGTTTTGTCGCAAAATTAAGTTCTAAAATTTCCATTCAATTGTTGCGACGAAAAATCTATTATCGTCGCAAACGTGCGTCGATAATATACTAATACGTCGCAATGGAAAATAAAAATTAATTTTTTTTTAATAAATTTATGTTGCGACGTTTTTAATATAAACGTCGCAAGTGGAATCGGCATTTTGCGACATTATTTTCGAAATTTTATTTTAAAGTCGCAAATTTAATTCAAGCTTGCGACGTTTGTAATTTAAAGTCGCAATTTATTAATTAAAAAAACCCTTATGCCCTAATTCTCTCCTATCTTCTTTACCCCTCTCTCTCTCTCGCCACTTTCTCGCAGCCCTCTGCCAACGATTGCCGACACCTGCGACGACCTTCGCCATCCCCATCTCCGCCCTTCTCCGACGCACCAAGAGCCCACACCAACGACACCTCCGCCCTTCGCCGACCCCCCATCCGCCCTTCGCCGATGCACTAGGATCCCACACCAACGCCACCTCATCCCTTCGCCAACGCCATCTCCGCCGTCGCACCTCCATCCATGCCCACACCGAATTATTGAAACTTGAAGCCTGCTAATCAATTGGTATGGTCTTACTACCCCCTTTTTCTTTTCTTTTTCTTATTTTGTTTTTCAAATACTTAAATTTGGGGTTTTCATTTTTTTTTTCCAAAATGAATCTATTGTGGCTTACTGTTGCAAATACCAACTATTTTAATTTATGGTTATCTACTGTTGTTCTTAATTTAATATTTTTTTTTTGTTTTTTTTGTCTTATTTTTTAGAATGTGTTTTACTGATATTTGATCAATGGATATGGTTTGTTAGTTGGATTAAAATCTTCTATGACAAACTTGTAAATTTTTTCCCTTTTCCCATGCTAGTAGTTCGATTGGAATTTCTGACCGTTCACC